AAGAGTGTTGTTTGCCAGGTTCAGAACTTCTAGTGATTTAAGAGATCCCATTAAAGATGGGATATCCCCTTCAAGCCTGTTGTTTGATGCTGCAAAGTTCTGAAGCTCCTTGCAGCCGCGAATCTCTCCCGGGATGAGGCCACTCAGGCTGTTGTTCTGCAGGTCAAGAGATGTCAAATTCTTCAAGAGACCAATCTCAGCCGGGATGCTTCCATTCAATTGACAGTAGGCAAGACCCAACACTCTCAGCTCACTCAAGTTGCCAATACTCGGCGGGATTTCTCCCGACAACAAGTTGTTGCCCATTCTAAGAACTTGCAGCTCCTTCAAAAGGCCTATTTCAGGAGGTATCTTACCAGAGAGATAATTTGAGTGCAGAAGGAGTACTCTAAGATTCTGAAGCTTCCCAAGCTCAGGAGGAATTTCACCGGTGAGGATATTGGTTGAAAGATCGATCGTTTGAAGCGAAGAGAGACGCCAAAGATCGTCCGGAATGGAACCCGATAGGCCTGACCAAGACAGGTTCAAGCCCACAACTTGATCATAGGAACATGTCAGGCCATACCAAGTGCACACATTAGCATCTAGAGACCAGCTTTCCATGACTCCTTTTGGATCGTCCAGTTCGGATTTGATTCTCAGAAGCCAATAGGAATCAGTGGAATTTTCTCCATGAGCATCAACAAGAACAGCACCAAGTACTGCATATAACAACATGAAACAAAACAATTGGATGCCAGCCATTTCTACTGTTGTGAGAAAAGGACAGAATAAGACAAGGTATCAAGAACCTGGCTTGGAATATTTAGTGTTGATGCTTGGAAAACTGAGTTCCATAAAAGAAGACAAGAAAAAAAAAAAAAAAACACAAGGGAAGAACTTAGTTCCAATATGATAAGAAGAAGAGCATATGGAAAAAGATAATGAATAGGACATGACGGAAATAATTGGTGGGATGATTTGTTTCTAGGGGTTTATGTAGTTCACATATTTCTAAGTAAACTTTAAACTATAATTTTCCATTAAAAAAAGAGAGTTGTTCTCGTAGGACTAGAAAAAATAAATTACCGTTAACTTTTTACTTTCAATCGTCAATATAATTATAAATTGTGTATTGTACATATTTTCTCAATCTGATATTATTTTAATTAAATTTAACGATTACAGACTAATATTATTGATAGAGAGTCCCTACCAGAGAAAGTTCTACGAGAAAAAAAAAATCCTTGTAGTAGGGTAAAAGGTGTGGTTGTCAATTTGCTGTCTTTTTTTTTTTTTTTCCTTTCTTGTCAAGGCAAATATGGAATAAAATAGCATGCCTAAGTAGATTGTGAGTGTGGGGAAGTGATGGAGATAAGATAGTGTCATGGGCATTGCTGAGAGAAGAACAAAAAGGTTTGCAAAAACACCCACTTGCTTGCATGTCCTTGGTAGAAAAAAGTGAAGGGCTCTCTCTCTAGGCTCTATGATGAGTTCAAAAACTATATTAAAACAAGAAAAGAAAAGAAAAGAAAAGAAAACTTAGGATTTAGTTTCTTCCTATGTAAAATAAAAATTCCACATCGTATTCGGAAGAATCTTGTAAAGGATCCACTAGGGAAATAAATTCCAAAAAAATAAGTAGATTTGACTTTCTAATGATGTGCTCGAATTAGCTTCATGGATTGTCAACTAAATGGGTGTAATCCTATTACATTAATGACAAACCACAAAAAATTTCACATCAACATAAAAGGACAACAACATTCATGAACCTCTGCACTGATTTTGCAAGGGAAAAAAAAAAAAAAAAAAAAAAAAAAGCATGACCAAGATCAATGGCCCTTTTGCTAGTGGATGTTGAAAATAGAACAAATTTGCGGCTTGTGAGGCCTCTCTTTTTTCTTGATTGAATTTCCATGGTAGAGCAAATTTTGTCACAATTTCCTTTCAGCCCATGAATATGATTATTCTTTCGGTTAATTTTTTATATAACACTAAAAGGAAAAGGTTAAAAAAAAAAAATCACGTCACGTCACGTCAGATTATTCTAGTAACTACAATATTTATCATGAGTCATTATTACGCATACTCTCATGACAAATGATACTATTTATGAAATACCTTTTTTTTTTTCCTCCCTTCTTTTAGTGCTAAAAAAAAAAAAATGGTTTTTTTTTTTCTTGAATTTGAGGCGTTAATTAAAGAGTTGAACGCGAAATTTTCCGGCTTCTTCTCAACCTAAAACCACCTAATACTAAATTAAATACAAGAAGAAAACATAGAAGCTAAGCAACTACTATTTTGATAAGTATTCACAGCGGTGTGACCAGGTTAAGATATTGTGTTGGAAAACAGGAATAGAGCCAAAATAAATCATGTGAGGTTTGGTCTGATGGATCCAAAAAAAAAAAAAATGTTGCGTTGGCCTAATGAGGTTTTGTTATAAAAGGGTAGAGAGATAGAGAGAAGATAATTTTATGCCTCGTTCATTTCATCGATTTGAGTTTTCAATTTTAGGTTTTTACAGTAAAAAGCTCTCAGAAAATGTCATATCTAACATTTTCTGCTACAGTGAAAAGTTCTCATAAAATATTATATCTCAACTCGAATTAAAAACTCGAATCTACGAAGTGAACAAGGCCTAGTATTATTGAATGATTCCTGCTTATAGAGAAACCAAGCAAAAGAGGACAAATAGTTTGCTTCAAAATTGGATTTTCTTTGATAGATAACTGTTTATTGGGGATCCCTATCACATATGGCTTTCATATATTGTCAACTTTGCTTAAGAGGATTAAAGCAGGGACAATCAATATGGATTAAAAGCCAACAAGTTTGTCCCACTAAAATCCCAAGAAAAATATGTACATGAAGCAAAACCTGCCCAAGCAAATTTACTTTTGCTTTTCCTATGAATTACAAGTCAGTCAATTTGCCCAATAACAACATAGTGGATGAGTGCAAATTCTCATTTAAATAGCTCTATGCGGTACAGAAGTCTTATCACTTACATGTATTTAATTATTAAATCTGATCTAAATCATGTAGAAAAAAAAAAAGTATACCAAGCTTACAAAATTTAGGCGTGTTTATTTGTACAACTCCAGTCATAATTAGAGTTGTGTATGTGAGAGAAAATTAATGTAGTAAAAAAAATTAAATTTGAATTTATATAAGAGAAAATACTGTAATAATAATACTTGAGTCATCAAATGAACAATGCCTAATACAATTCTGATAGTTTAAAACAAAATGATATCAGTAGGATTTTTATTTTTTCGTACCCTATTGTTAAAAAAACAAAAAAAAAAGGATGATTTTATAGTGAGGTGTCCTCACTGTAAAATCTAAAAAGATCAGTGATCACACATGTACAATTTAAATTAGACAATTCATATCTCATAAGAAAATTCCAAGTCGGAGTTGAATCCACCTCATAAGCAGGTTTATTTTAGATCGTAAAATTAAAGTCAATAATCTCTATCGGTGGTGTTCAGATGATATAATTCTTCTTTAGTAAGTGCTCATATTTCATAAAGTATAATAATAAATAAGTATTAGTCAAACACTCGATTGACATTCTCTTACTAGTTTCAGACAGCAAATAAGACACAAGATCAATGAGCAATTATATGAATATATCTGTCCTCAACCTAATCTGAGTTTATATTCTTGTTCTACCCTTTGAAGAAAGGAGAAAGAATGTTAATATACCAATACCGACATGTTAATATAACAATACCAACTCTGAAATTAAAAAGAGAATAAGAACATGGCTAAAATTTGATATTCTTGTCAACCACTGAGGGACAAGGGGCAATAAAGCAAAGATATACATCCAAGGGAGAAGGTACATTATTGAAGATGTATCATACTAGTTGACAATTTTATTTTTTCAAAACAAAAGAGTCTTTGAAGAACTCTACTTTCTCCATAAACAGTACAAATAAATTTTGTTTTAAAAAAATAAAGAGTTGACAAGTTTGTTGAATTTCCATTAACAATTTTTGGAAAGAAATAAAAAAGAGAAAAATTTAGGAATTTAACATTTGTTTTTCTAGTGAGTAGTTCAGAGAGCTTTAATGATGAAACAAGCACCTAAGAAAAAAAGATAAATGAATCAGTACATATGGAATCATAGTGAAGAAATCATAGGTGGTGATGTGGTCCAATAGTATTTGGCCAAACCATTGTTGTTATCTTATCAGTTTGTGTTGGTTAGTTTGACTTTACTACCTTAATATTTCTTTCTAATTGTTTGCAGAGGATGTTGACTTGGGCCTGCTTTTGTTTATAATCTTGTAGAGTTGTAGTTGGTGGCCTATTTGACGAAGTACTAAGGGGGGATGTTTAATTCGTAAATTTAAAATAAAAATTTAAATTTTATAAAAAAAATATTATAATAAAAATATTTGAACAGTAATTTACACGATATAACTCTCGTTTACTATGAAATTAGAAATAATCCAAAATGCACTATCATAGGGCTATTTGCGTTTTGCGCATTATTCACCACCCGTATATTGTTGCCGCTAAATCCTTTTCTCTTTTTCTTTGGGCGCGTTAATGGTACCGTATCATGGGTTAAAATCATGACTTTATTGATTTGATATATTATTTATTTATTTATTTATTTTTACAAAACTTGCATAATTTACCTATAAAATGTATGGGTCTAAATTTTTACCTATCATTCTTAATTAATATGCTTTTGTTAATATAGTTATTTGATTAAAAAACTTATTAATAAAAGGTAAAAATCTTGACTCATGCACTTTTAAGGGATATTTATCTCCTTTCAGCATACTATTTACTCTTGATTAATATCATTCTCACTAATATAATTATTTGACTAAAAAATATATTAATCTTAGTCAAAAATATTAATCAAGAATAAAAAATATAAATTCAAACTCGTGCCTTATTAAAATGTATTTGTCTCCTCTCCTCATTTATTTATGGAAGCTTTTTTTTTTTTTTTTTTTTT